AAAGTCAAGTAGTCGGCCCATGGCCCAAATTTCGTTTACAAAACATAACCCAAACCCCGTGACCCCTAGTCACGACAATACATAGGGTTCAACCCTAACACGCATGTTTGCATTTCTCGAGTCCAACTCGACTACATCACCGTGCACATCAATCACAAGTCAATTACTCCACCAATCTCCGACGTCATGTTCACCCATGCAATTCTAGAGCATCGGGCTCAAGTACATCTCCTTACATGGGCTGAACCAAATCCTTATGTCTACCCAATGCAATTCTAGAGCATCGGGCTCAAGTACATCTCCTTGCATTGGCATAGACCCCAATTCCTAAGCACTCGTTATGCCTAGAATTGTAATATCAATAATCTATTTCGGGACATCCTTACGAACTGCCTCATCATGATCTTAGCATCACATTACAACAATTTACTCACTTGAACCACAATCAAGTATATCACTTACAATCAAATCCTTAGATTCAATTTCTTAACAATTACAAACAATCATTAACTAGTATTCCAATACTATTAAGATTGTTCCCATCAATCATATATTTCATTTGTAAATCCCTACGTATTTAGAAATATGTAGCAGCGACTTAGACATCCAATGTAATACATAAATAATCATTTATGTATCTACACAATTCACACATGAGTAAAAATGCATATTTCACACAATAGTTCATTTAACTCCATTTTTATCAATATGATTTCCAAATCATTTACAATTTCATTACTTATCTAATATATCAATATTTCATCAATAATCAGTCATTATAATCCATGAAAAACATGATTTAGGCATTTAGGTAATCTCATGCTTAACCTACAAGTTGTAAGCAACTAGATGTCGATCCTCAAATGAGCTTTAAATTGTTCCTTCTCAACCCAATGCTCAAGCTTCGGCCAAGGGGGTTTTAGAATTGATTCCTCGCTTATAAATAGGTGTTAAACAGCCTCCTCAAGGTGCTTGCTCAACTCCTAACCGAAGACACGAAAACAGCCCCTAGAACGGGTGTTTTCCGGTGAATTCGTTCCTTAACCTTTCAAGGTTTTGTCTAGGTTAGTATTTAACCTTTCCAACAATTAAAGTTACTCTATAACAAAATTTTATACACTTAAACCAGTGTATAATATTTCTTCAACCATTCAAAGTATTTAGGCAATAGAAAGGAAGGTTTTGGATTCAAACTTACTTTGAATACCATAAACGTATTCTGCGAGGTTTCGTTGTGTTCGGACGATTTGAAGGCCTTAACCTGCTCCGTTTCCTTCAAACCGCACGCCTATGGATTCCTCTTCTCGATAGATTTCAGCGGGCACCTCACACGTTTTAATGAGATTAGCGGAACTAAAGATATGAGTCGAACAAGAAGGACTACGCACTGGATTTTTACCCTGCGGACAGTTTTCCTCCCTCTTGCTCTCTTTGTTCTTGTGCGGCTCTTCTCCTCCCTTTATCTTTTGAGTTCGAATGAGGGGTGAGGGGGAGGTATCTGGACGCTCTTCAAGCGTTATCTAACCGTGTGGCTCCCAAAATAGAAGGTTGGGTGTTTGAATCCAAATCAAACATGGGATGGTCCTCCTCTTTTATTTCTCTATTGTATTGTTTGAGCTCTCAACTCAATAGGTCCGTCCCATTTATGTGTTCTAACTTATTCTACCTGTTTTGCAGGTGATAGGAAGGTGCGGGGCGTACTCTCATGTCCCCCAATTAATTTGGGAGCAAAATATCAACCAATACATCCAAAAGTGGAAAGATGGGTCCTATCATTTTTGTCTTTTATCATAAGATGTACTTTTGTACTCTCCCCAATTTATTCAGATCAAGTCAACCTCCTACATCATATTATTGGTCTCTAATATGTGTAGGGTGGTCCCAATAATTTATTTGATGTACAATTACAAAAGAAAACCCTACTCCCATTATTTAGCCTAATAATGCCAAAGATGGGACCATAGGCATTTGTATTCCTTTCCGATCATTCCATCATTCATTTATAATGTTAATATATATATATATATATATATATATATATATATATATATATATATATATATATATATATATATATATATATATATATATATATATATATATATATATAGGCTACCAACCGTGTGGGTCACCCTCCAATGGGTCTAGGATGCCATTCTTGAATAATTACTATTTTTAGCAGGTTAGGCCCAAAATAACATTTGGACTGCCCGACGGCTCTTACATTGTACCGATGGGTTGTATATCTTTATTTAAGGATGTTGGTCCCCAATATCAATGATATGGCCCAATTAATTATTTAGAAGTCCGTTACCATTGTATGAGTCCAAAATAGTAATATGATAAATCATACGTTCCGTAAAACTTTAATCGTTTTACAACCGTTCGAAAATAGGGAAATTCAATACATAAGTTTTGAAATTAAATTTACATTTCTAGGACGTTCGGGTGCGGTGTCACAGGGCAGCCCTCGCCTATGAGGCTGATGTATCTAAAATTAGGGCCACTGGTTCAGCCGAATTCCAGAGGTCCACTGCTTTCCGGGACGCTCTGTGAACTGTTGCTCGGAAGTTCCTGCCCCGGTTCGTTGGGGAGCATTTGGATCAGAGCAAGAACCCCTACCTGGTCGACATTTAATTGCTAAAGGGTTCTCTAACCACTCAGCGGTTTCTCACGGATTTGGCCGATGACACATTAGCTAAGGGCATGATTTGCTTCGTTTAGGAGAATATACCAAGCCTTGAACGTCATTTCCCGACTCCCTTCGATCATGAGGCCGCTGGATTTGATTTATTTTTGTTGATGCTTATGAGGAGGCCCTAAAGCTCACCAAGGGGAAAGAGGATGCTCCCACAAAGGACACCACTCCGGGCGGCGATCAGGCCTAATACACTCCCCCTCCATATTATTTGTATCTTGTATTATTCATTGTATTTGTAACATTGTTGTATTTGTAACATTGTTGTATTTTCCGGGTCGATAGAGCTGAAGAATAAAGAACATTCTTTCTTCATTCATTCCTTTCCCCATTCATTTTTTCATGTTCGTCCACACCATGCCCAACGAGTCCTTAGCACGCTTTTTGGGCCGAGCTGCACAAGAACCCGCGCGTGTTCGCCCAACGACCTAGTGACTAAGTCCTCATTTCGTCCCACAGGGACGAACTGCACCGGGCACTTGGTGACCTCGACCTAAGATTGGACCATTCCTCGTCCACGGCCAACGACCGGATCCGGAGTCCCCAAGTTTTCGTCCAACGGCCTAGTCAGCAAATCCTTAGCTCGTCCCATAGGGACGAACTGCACCGGGCACTTGGTGACCTCAACCAAGGACTGGACCGCTCCTCATCCACAGCCAATGACCGGATCCGCAGTCCCCAAGTTTTCGTCCAACGACCTAGTCAACAAGTCCTCAACTCGTCCCTCAGCGACGAACTGCATCAGGTACTTAGTGACCTCGACCAAGGACTGGACCACTCCTCGTCCACGGCCAATGGCCGGATCCGGAGTTCCCAAGTTTTCGTCCAACGACCTAGTTAGTAAGTCCTCAGCTCGTCCCACAGGGACGAACTACAACAAGCACTTGGTGATCTCGACCAAGGACTGGACCACTCCTCGTCCACGGTCAATGAACAGATCCAGAGTCCCCAAGTTCCGGGAGTTATGCCCCCATTTTCGGAGTGAATCTGGCCAACGGCCGCTATTGATAGAACTTTTTCAGGTGTTCTACATTCCATACGCCCACTCCGCGTCCCTCCATAGTCTGTAGTAAGAACATCCTGTGTGCAAATTTCCTCCACACTCGGTATGAGCCTTCCCAGCTTTTGGCCATTTTACCACCCTCAAGCGGCTTGCTCTTCTCTCGCTTCCTCAACACGAGGTCTCCGACCTCGAGGGCCGTGATTTTTACTGTTTTATTGAAGTAGCGTTGGGTGACTCAGTGGTATTCCTCCACGACCTTCATGATGATGATCACGTTGACTTGTGATATTTGTGTTTACATTATTGTGTGAAACATGCACCAATTGGTCGAATTTCATGTGGTATTTCAAGTATTGTGGTGCAATGTAGTTTCATTGATTCGTTTTGTGTTTCAGATATATTTTGTTTTTGTAGATCAGATGTTTGTTTGTTTTTTGAGTTGAATGGATTCTAATGAGCAGGTTTTCTGTTGATTGTATTATTTTTCGTTTAATTGACTGTGCAAGTTTTTACTTAACACAAGAGCCGCCACTTCAAGTGTCGGCTTTCCTCCACACTCGGTACGAGCCTTCCCAGTTTTTGGCCATTTTACCACCCTCAAGCGGCTTGCTCTTCTCTCGCTTCCTCAACACGAGGTCTCCGACCTCAAGGGCCGTGATTTTTACTGTTTTATTGAAGTAGCATTGGGTGACTCGGTGGTATTCCTCCACGACCTTCATGATGATGATCACGTTGACTTGTGATATTTGTGTTTACATTATTGTGTGAAACATGCACCAGTGGGTCGAATTTCATGTGGTATTTCAAGTATTGTGGTGCAATGTAGTTTCATTGATCAGTTTTGTGTTTCGGATATATTTTGTTTTTGTAGATCAGATGTTTGTTTGTTTTTTGAGTTGAATGGATTCTAATGAGCAGGTTTTCTGTTGATTGCATTATTTTTCGTTTAATTGACTGTGCAAGTTTTTACTTAACACAAGAGCCGTCACTTCAAGTGTCGGCTTTCCTTAACCGTAGTTAACTCATGTAGTATTTTGAATATTTTTGACTCACCAATATTTTGAGAATTATTTATTTAATTAGCGTTATTTCGGAAAAAAAACTCTCTATTTTGGCAACTAAAGTTTGGTGAAGTCCAATTTGGGGAATTCTCCATTGTTAGAAATGGACTCCTTTCATTTTATTTTTAGAATAGTTAGAGCCGGATTTGACGTACGGATTTCATTGTTGGGGAGGCAAAACGTTCGGAAATTTCAAACATATAGCGAGCGGGTGTTTCACTTTTGAATACGGACAGGGAATCAGTTCAAATAATTAGAGCAGAAAAAGGACCCTCGGCTCGACCTTTTTTCAAAATTGAAAAACGATCCTCATAATCCCGCCCATCACTCCCTCTATCCTATCAAACCGGGCCTCCAACTCAAATTGCAAAACAAAAGAGGGAAAGCTCGAACCGGGTAGCTCTAATCTGTGAATCTTTTTCTCTGTAAGCTCATATCCATTTTTCCATTTCTATCGGTTTTGCATCTTCATGCTTATGCATCTATTTATTATAGATCAATTAATATGAATGAATGAAGAATCTGCACACAAATCTAGCTCTTATGCGTTTTTAATGCTTGTCTGGGAAATTTGTACACGGGCGCCAACTTTACGAATCTGCATTTTTTTGGTCTAGTCTATTTTTTGGGGTAAACGTTTCTGCATTCTGTGTTGCGTGTACAATTGATTATTCCGACATTGCTACTCTTTTGTTTAACAGATAAGAGCAAACCAGATTACAGCATTTTTTTTATCACTGAGCTATTGTTGTAATCTTACATTCAAATTAAGTGACCGAAAAATCAGTAATCACCGTGGTGAGATGATTTTGAAAACAATCTGATTTTCAACTCCTAAAGTCACTTTTTTATGAATCTTGACACACTTAAGTTCAGATTTCTTCGACATCTTATGCTTGCAACAACAAATTCACCCTCAAGAAGCTTAAATAAACACCATCTTAATCAAGTCACTTTCATAGCTTAACTCATGAATCTATGGTTATATCTACACCAATTTGAAATTTTTACCCTGCTTCTGACTATGGCTTTGGGTAGTCATTATTTGATAGCAACAAGTTTGTTTCTTGCAGGAGTTGCAGCCAAAGAAATGGACTCTCTACCTGATGCCATTGTCCATTACATACTATCCCACATAAGCAACGCGAAAGATGTGGCCTATTCTTCCTGTGTTTCCAAACGCTGGAAGGAAACAATGCCACTGATCAAGACCCTTTTTTTCCCCCGAAACCTCTTCGACAATTTCAAGAACGGGAACCCTGATGCCATTATAGGTCATATGATCTCATCCGTTGAGAGATTAGAATCTCTTTGTATCTACTGCCCTTTCTCTGGGGTCAGTCTTGCTTCATGGCTTTCCCTCACGGGCCCATCCCTACGGAATCTCGAGTTGCGCATGGACAACTTAGTCGAACATCAAAATAACTCCAAGTTGGATTCCATAAGAGAAGCATTCAATCTGGAGTCTTTGAAACTATGGGGTGTGCTTATGAAACATACCCCCAAATGGGATACCTTCCACAGGCTTAAGAATCTTGAAATAGTTGGGGCAAGGGTTGATGATGTGGCAATTTCTAGTGCATTGAGAAACTGTCCTAATGTTCGACACCTTCTGTTGTTAGGGTGCGAGGGACTACAGTCTGTGGTGATTGAACTACCATATCTTGTGCTTTGTAAGCTTGATTTCTATGGGATTGGTAACTGCACACTGTCCCTTGATTGCCCAATGCTTGAAGAAATTGAGATACAAGGGTGTAGTTGGATTAGAGCTCGTGAGATGCAGTCCTTGAAGAATCTTACCATTGCCAATAATTCAGGTACTAATGCTTATTTAATATAATCACAATCCATCTTTGGTTCTTGCTACTGATAGCTCATTGTGTGCTTTGTCTATCATTCTATATATAGTTTGATTTATTTTGGAGTAGCATTTGGTTGAAATGCAAAATTTGTGGAAGGAAAAGCATTTGGTGATATCTACTTTAGGCAAATAAGTACACTCAAAAGCTACATACTCTACTCAATTTTCTTCATGACAAGGAGAATAAGCCAATTATGACTATCAAGCGAAGCCTTAAGAAGAAGACATCAATCTTATGTTTAGCAAGAACTGAACAATGTTGTAAAAGAAGATAGATAAGGCCTAGGCATGGGTCGCATGCAGCTTCAAGTTGGATACTTAAATGGTTTGGGTGCAAGCTTTGACGACCAAAAATATGACCTAAAAAACTTTGGATATATTTGGGTGATACGGGTTGGGTCTCGTAGGGTTTGGGTAATAGTAACTAGTATTCGTCCAAGTAGAAATTAATTTGGGGTGAATATGAACGAAATGATAGAAAATCTCTTTCTAAATCCACAAATGCATGTCCATTAATGCTCATGGAATTGTCCACTTCACATTCCAAAAAAGTATCATAAAAATATAAAACAGTAAGCTTCAGATCTCGAGCTTAGTTTGATAATGCAGTTGTAAACTCAAAACCTGAACCATGATTTTCATAACCGCTAGGAACTATACCGTTCTGGATTAGATCCGTTAGAAAACTGGGTTGCATCTGAAGTGTACGCACCCTTACCTAAGTGGAGAACTTAGCGTGGGATGAGCGAGAATTTTACTACAATGGGTTCAGGATTATGTTTTATGAAATGCAGGGAGAGTTTATATGGTAGATTTTGGGAAGCTTGAAGTTCTTGAGACCTTAGTCATGAGAGGGATCCAATGGAGCTGGGATGCCACAAGCAGATTGCTTCAAATGGCAAGTGAAGTGAAACAACTCTTCATGAAGGTGGAATTCACTGGGGATTTTGAAGCACTCCTGGCTTTTCCCGAGGTTGATTTTGTTGACTTCTTCAATAGCCATCCTAAGCTTCTATCATTTGACATCCATGGTGCCATGTTTGCAGCACTATGCCAGAAAAGTAGCCTAAAAAACGTGAGTTCGTTTTCTATTTTTTATTTTTATGATTTATTTCCTTGTATCTAACTGGTAATTAACTAATAAGTGATGACACAACCAATAGTTGTTAATCATTACTGCAGCTGAATTAAAAACTTATAGTAAACAAAATGAAACACAAACATTAATCTATTTAAAACATATTCCTCATAACGAGTAATAAAGAAGACAAAAAGAATATAAAACAAACATTCTCACAATGAGTAATGATGAATACAGAGTAAACTGATGATTAATGAATGAATTAGGACCCGTTTGGTAAAGTTTATTTACTTTAAATGACTGAATCTACCCAATTTTCTAAAAGACAGCGTTTGGCAGAATCTATTCCAGCTAAATACGTACATCAAATGGTTAGTCGTTTATACCTTTCCTGAAGTTTGATTAAATTACCAAATGGCTCTTGGGGTTTCTAAATTACAAATAAGCCCCTTGACCAGTTACATGACCATTCACATTTCTCTAGAATGGCCCTTTTAACAATGGAAGTGTATACGTAGATGAGTAGAATAAACAGAGCAAGTCATTTAATGCTGACAAATAACTACCAAAATGCATTTGTCACTTGTATTAACAGAGAGCTTTTACAACAAGTTAGTACTTTTTTGCTGGTCAAGGTTCAAGTTAGTTTAACTTTAACTGCAGTTGGATTCAAGCTTTGTGATTCCTTGCTTGGAAAAGGTGGTGGTCACAGTGAGATCGCCACTTAATGCTGAACAGAAGATGAGTACCCTGGAGTCATTGCTAAGGTACTCGAAGAATTTGAAGAAAATGACAATTAAAATTCTTCAGATGAAGAGCGGCCACAGCAGCACTGATGATTTTTTTGAGGATATATGCAGATTCAGATACCGGAACCGCAAGGTTGTTTCCATTGAATAGTAGTGTTGTCTTTCTTACTTTCACCATGGTTTCTCATTTTTCTTCTCATTGTCCATTCAATAAAGATGCTTATAGTGTTACTCTTTTTTTGAAAGCTGGGAAAGTTTTACTTCCTAAAACAATTGAATTTTATAATCTTATCTTGACATTCTTTTTTAGTAAAGCATTCTCTATTTATGTAAACATCTTCTGAGGTTATCTATGGCTGAGGGCGGTAGCCATTTTCATTGATTATTCACTTCCCCATGCTCCAAATGATTTTTTAAAATGAGTATCTTATAAAAAGATCAACTTGTTTTCAGAAAACATAGTCCACATTATTTTTACTTGCCAGTTATTTTCGTGCAAGGAAATAGATTTTAATTGAGTTGCACATGAAAGAAATGGAGACCAAACACATCGTACGTGATTTGCTAAGTTTGAAAAGTATTTGACATTGAATAATATTTTCTGAGACAACAAATTATCTTATGCTACTTACCTCATTCGGATAAGTTTCTGTTCATTATTTCTGACTTTCTGTTGTCAATTTAATTTATTATTCTTGATATATGATTTTGTCATTTATGTGTAATTAATATTTATTATATTCGACTTCGGTTTTAAGATGTTTTTACTTGGTCTGTTTTCAGTCCACGATCAGACTAGATCAAACCAGATTAGACTTGGATAATTATAAAATACACATGAACAAACTTTACCAGACCAGACCAGAAAATTTCAATCCAAGTAAAAACATCCTTATTAGTTCACTACAACTTTTAGCATAATTTTTATATATGTAAATTTAGTTATTAATTTAATTACACATTATATTTTGATTCAATTTTGAAAATGAAAGTGCGAACAATGTTTTGGGATCATGTACGTATTTTTGTACCTGGGTGGGAGCCTTTGCGGCACTGGGGTAAATGAAAATGAAATTGGTATCAGAGCCTCTTTCATATTGAAATTATTTGGAGTTTTTGTACTTTTGTTTCAATTTTAAATGATTTAATTTCTGGAATTTATTTTGTTGTACAATCTGTGGATCAAAAGAAAAACACGACTTTGCGCTCATAGTGGTGGACTCGGTTCGGACCGGGCCCGGTTCAGGCCTTGAACCGGCCGGGCCTCGGTTCACGGAAGGCAGGCCCGGAACCGGCCCGGAAAACCCCGGGTCCGGTTCGGTTCGGGTCACCCACCCGGTTCACGGGCCGCCCGCCTGGCCGGGCCTTTTATTATTTTATTATATATTATATTATTAGAATAATTCTTATTACAATTACAATATATTATATTCTAATTCAAGTATATTTATTTCAAATACTAAGTACAATTGAGAATTAGGATGAATTTAAAAAATGTAATACATTTTGTAATAAAAAATCAATCGGAATCTCCGCCTTCGGTTGTTTCCTCCATAAAGTGGCGGGTGAGAGCGATGATAATTTCTTGAGTTCTTCGTTGGGCCTTCAACCAATCGTGAAAGCAAACTAGTGTCTCAAGAGAGCTCGAGCTCAACCTCGTTCTATAATCGGTTAGGATGTTGCCGGCCGCACTAAATTCTTGTTCCACGGCAACGGTTGATATCGGCATTGCTAGCACTTGCTTAGCCATCTTTGATAAAATCGGGAATGTTCTTTCATTTTCCTTCCACCACTTAAGAACGTCAAAATCATCACCAACTTCATAATCAACATTCAGTGTTAGATACAAAGAAAGCTCGTTACGTGAGCTTTGTTCAGTAGCGGGAGTTGCTCTACTTTTTTTCAAAAGAGAACCAAAAGCGGATTTTAAAAGTGATTTTCCTTTAGATGAAGAAGATGTTCGTTGCATGGGAGGGGGTGCATTACCATATTGTGCATGAAATTCATTATACAATTGATGAAATAAATTACTAACCTCGTTAATTCTTGTTTAGGGTTGATGGGATTATCATCGAACTCTTGAGTTGGAAAAAAAGAAGCATAATAGTAATCTATACAATTTGCCAAGTAAGCAAGTTTATAATGAGGATCAAGAACAAATGCAATACCATATATATGCGGAATATGTGAATAATATTTTAAAAACTTTTGTTTCATGAAATCACAAAAATAACTAACGTAAGTGGCTTCGGAAAATTCACAAAAAGCGCCGACGAGATTAACAGCTTCAACAAAAATTTCGTTTGCGATAGGTTTATAAACATGACTAAAAGTTTGAGTTGCGTTATTAAAATATGCCAAAACATTAACAATTTTTTCACAAGTGTCGATGTCAGCCGGGTTTATAACATAGTTACAAGTTTGTCTTAAAAAAGCTGGAAAATGATCTTTATATCTAACAAGTACTTGAATTAAATTATAAGTAGTATTCCAACGAATAGACAAATCTTTAGGAAACGCACAATAATTGACACGTCTATCCTTCAAATATTGCTGCCATTGCAATTTTAGTGGAGTGCTAGCCCAAATCAATTTAATTCCCCCCTTCACTACCTCCAAAGCATTTCCTAATGCCACTAAGCCATCTTGTACACACAAATTTAGAATATAACCTGCACAACGTTGATGAAAAAACCTACCCATCAATGTAGAAGCACCACACAATTCACGTAATCTAGGTATAGCAGCAGTATTATTACTAGGATTATCAAAACCTACAGCAAACACCTTATCAATCAAATTATACTCAATTAAAATACGTTCAATGAGAATATAAATATTATCAGCAGTGTGACGATCATTGAATTAACGAAAAGCAAGAACACGTTTATGCATATTCCAATCATCATCAATATAATATGCAGTAAGACCCAAATAATATAAATGATGACAAGTATCCTCCCATATATCGCTACAAATACTAACACGTCCATCAAAATTTGCGAAAAATGTTTGTAATTTTTCTTTTTCCAAGTTATATTGTCTTATAACTTCTTTTTTAATCGTTTTGCGACTATAATTTCTCAATTGAGGATTTAAAGTACCTTGAGCATAATCTCTTCAGGCAAGACTTTCGGAAAAAATATAGGGTAAATTTTCTTCAACAATTAAATGAGACATACCAGCAAATGTTTTTTATCATCATAGGAAAAATTACCAAAGGGTTGAGAATTGTCAAACCTCAATATTTGTGTTTGCTTCCCCTTGCCTTTGTCTATTTTCGCATACTCCACAAAGTGGGCGGACTGAAGATGCCTTTTGAGACTCTCGTATCCGCCAGAAGTTCCCAAGCTAAACTCTTTGTTGCAATGATTGCAACTTGCGTACCATTTTTCGGTATTTTTGTCTTTCCTTTTTGTATAATTGTTTTCAACAATAGGAGATTTAGATTTCTTACCAATTTGGGTTGTAGTCGTTGAACGACCCTCGTCCTCCAACTCTTGCTCATCATCCGGGGTGTCGTGAGTCCCGTCGCCCCCCGCGTCCTCCTCCACATCGTCATCCTCGAGCTCCTCTTCATCAATGGTTGTCGGGAATTGTTGTTCTTGTGCAAAGCGTGGATCATTTTGGGACAATAGGTTTTGTAGTTGCTCGTCGGACATCATCATATCATCTCGCCGTTGGTAATCCGTTTCAAAATCATCTCGACTTTGAAAAGAAGACTCAACCCGCGCTTTACCTTTGCCTTTGCGTGAAGTAGATCGAGTAGTTGCAATCTCCCTCTTGCGGTTGCGTTGGAGATTACCCATATTTACAGAATGTCTACCACGCTCCATCTTTAAAATTGAACAAATATTAGCAATTAACTAATATGAGAAATGTAAAAATGTAGCAATTAACTAATATGAGAAATGTAAAAATCAACTACTTTTTTTTGACTTTAATGAGCAATGTAGCAATTAACTAATATGAGAAATGTAAAAATTAACTACTTTTTTTTACTTGAATGAGAAATGTAGCAATTAACTAATATGAGAAATGTAAAAATTAACTACTTTAATGAGAAATGTAGCAATTAACTAATATGAGAAATGTAAAAATTAACAACTTTTTTTTTACTTTAATGAGCAATGTAGCAATTAACTAATATGAGAAATGTAAAAATTAACTACTTTTTTTTTACCTTAATGAGAAATGTAGCAATTAACTAATATGAGAAATGTAAAAATTAACTACTTTTTTTTTTACTTTAATGAGCAATGTAGCAATTAACTAATATGAGAAATGTAAAAATTAACTACTTTTTTTACTTTAATGAGAAATGTAGCAATTAACTAATACGAGAAATGTAAAAATTAACTACTTTTTTTTACTTTAATGAGAAATGTAGCAATTAACTAATATGAGAAATGTAAAAATTAACTACTTTTTTTAACTTTAATGAGCAATGTTGCAATTAACTAATATTAATATGAGAAATGTAACAATTAAGTAGTTTAACTAATATTAATATGACAAATGAAACAATTAACTACTTTAACTAATATTAATATGACAAATGAAACAATGAACTACTTTAACTAATATTAATATGAAAAATGAAACAATCAAGTAATTTAATAGATAAACGAGAAGTCTAACAATTAACTACTTTTATAAAATGTATGAATGCGTATAAGTCTATATCAATGAGTATAAGTATATATAGTATATATAATGTGTAAATATATTATAAGTAATATATAATATAATGTATACCTCTATATAGTATATATAATATAATGTGTAAAGAATTATAATATGAATGTGTATAAGTATATATTTATAAGTAGATAATTAATATATAAGTAGATATAATAATTATATAAATTATAGATAGTATATATGTAGAAAGAATTTGGAGAAGATGAAGAATGAAGATGATTGAATATGAGAGATTGAGAGAATTGAGAATTTAAAGAGTAGGAAGAGATGTAGAAGAAGAGGTGTAAAAAATGTATAGAAAATAGGAGTATAAATAGTTTTTTTTGTATACCCCACCCCCACCCCACCCCACCCCCCTCCTATGCTCCCAACGACTATAGAGCCGTTTGGGAGCTCTCCCAACGGCTATGGAGCCTTTAAGTATTTATTTATTTATTTTTTTAAATATGACCGTTGCGGCCCGGACCGGGCCCGACCCGGCCGGACCTGTTCACTAAAATGCAGGCCCGGGACCGAACCGCTAGAAGACCGGGCCGGGTGGCCAGTACCGGGCACCAACCGGTTCACCGGGCCGGTTCGTGCCCGCACAGTAGCGGGCCGGTCCGGTTTCGGGCCGGTTGGCCCGGCCCGAGTCCATCCCTATGCGCTCATGCAATTCGTTCCTAATATATGTATGTATTGAATCAACACTTAATGGTTAAAACAAACCGATTGAGTAATCGGATGTTTCATTTTATTTTCTCTATCGTATTAATCATCAACAATTGGAATTTCAGTAAATTTTTTTAATCTGCCATATCAGTTTGGTTTTGGATGCGGCACTATGTATTTTATTTTTTTCAGCACTTCAATTCAATCCCATCGATTAGCCGATTAGAATGAAATCAGATAATTCATATGAATATGTATTTTGATAATCGTATCGGTTAGGGATGGACTCGGGCCGGGCAAACCGGCCCGGAACCGGACCGGCCCGCTACTGTGCGGGCCCGGCCCGCTACTGTGCGGGCCCGGCCCGGCGAACCGGTTGTTTCCCGGTTCGGGCCACCCGGCCCGGTGAGATAGCGGTTCGGTTCCGGGCCTGCTTTTTAGTGAACCGACCCGGCCGGGCCGCTACGGTCAAATTTTTAACTTTTTTTTTTTAAATTGTTAAAGGCTCTATAGCCGTTGGGAGAGCTCCCACACGGCTCTATAGCCGTTGGGAGCATAGGAGGGGGGGGTCTAGGGGTGGGGTGGGGGTGGGGGTGGGGTATACAAAAAAAACCTATTTATACTCATATTTTCTATACATTTTTTACACCTCTTCTTCTACAACTCTTCCTACTCTCTAAATTCTCTATTCTCTCAATCTCTCATATTCAATCATCTTCATTCTTCATCTTCTCCAAATTCTTTCTACATATATACTATCTATAATTTATATAATTATTATATCTACTTATATATTAATTATCTACTTATAAATATATACTTATACACATTCATATTATAATTCTTTACACATTATATTATATATACTATATATAGTTATACATTATATTATATATTACTTATAATATATTTACACATTATATATACGATATATACTTATACTCATTCATATAGACTTATACACATTCATACATTAATATTACTTATTTAATTGCTACATTTCTCATTAAAGTAAAAAAAGTAGTATATTTTTACATTTGTCATATTAATATTACTTAAAGTACTTAATTGTTTCATTTGTCATATTTTTTTTTGGATGAAATGTAAGTATATATTAACACCCAAGAAAAATAACAAGTTAATGTTACAATAAAAGTGCATATCCTAGTATATGGGATACCACAAAATCAAGCAAGAAAAGTCCTCCTAAATTCAACAAACGAGAGCCCAAAAACTCAAGAGATTCAAAGCTACAAGCAAGCTATCATAAAATAAAATTAGGTATCCCTAATTTAAGCTCCAAAGAAAGCTCGGAACGGAGAAGTGAACCTAGAGTCAAAACATATTTCCCCTTTCTTCTTTGTAACTCCCGGTATCGCCTCAAGGCATTTGGTCACGAAAGTAAGGCTTTTCCCATCCAAATCATCCGTAAGCCGAAGCGAAGTATCAACTCTAACCACACTCATGTGCACAAACTTAAACGGTTTGACATGAAACTTGAATGCCTTACCTTTGGTGATCACAACTTTGACGACCACATCATCAATCCTCAAATCTTTTTCATCCATTACTAACCTCTCAATATCTTCCGAGTCAGAATCGGAGCACTCATCATCAGAAGACCCCTGGGCAGTAGGCATAATCTCTAAAACGTTATAATCACCAACCAAATCCGCTTTGGCGGTCCCCTGGGACGTTGGCTGTCCAGAAGACCCGGTCGGGCCAGGGCAATGCCCGGTCGGGTAAGTTGCATCAGGCGTAGCAGCAGGTTGCAAAGTCAGGGCAACGGGTACAGCTACTTCCACACTTTCCACCAGAATCTCCGTATCAATGCCCTTAATAGTTAGGCCAGGCAGGCTGGCAGTAACCTGCCCATGGACGGAAGAGGCTGCCCCCTGGGCGAGAGCCAACCCTGGCGCATCTAAAGCAACCCCCTGGGCGAGAACCAGTCCTTGTTTGGTTTGGGCAGCCACACTTTCTTTCACCCCCTTCTTCACCTCACCCGATGTCAGCACTTTTCCAACCTTTTTCCAACCCAATTCATTGCAAATAAAGGGGTGATGCCCATAGGATTTGCAATGAAAGCAGAAATTAGGGAATGTTTCGTAAATAACCGCTTGATTAAAAGTCTTCCCTGATGGTAACCGGATAGGAACAGAAAGGCACGGGGCCAAGGTTAAGTCCACTTCAATTAAAACTCTTGCAAAATTGTAGTTAGACATCTCTTGGGTGACCTTGTCCGTAGTGATAGGAACACCCACCTTTGAAGCGATCTTGCTCATTGCCTCTTCATTCCACAAATTCAAAGGTAAATTGGGAAGTTTAACCCAAATAGGCACCTTAAGGAATGCCTCATCATCAAAAGTGAAGTCCTCAGAAAGCATTTTCAATATTAGTAATCTACCAAAGATGTTATAAGGTCCTTCAGTAAAAACCTTAGTTCTATCCTGCTCATTTTTAAACTTAAAAATCACCCATCCCTTGTTATGGGATTTCAACGTACAATGTACGCCCCAACTGTTCAAAAGCTCATATATTGCTTCAAGTCCCGGGAATCGAACTGTAAAGCAACCAACAAGGCAGAATCCCCACAACGAGACCATAGAAGGTAACACACAATTTGAAAGATCAACAACTTCATCAACGGAAGGTAGATATTTCAGTTTAATACCTTTAGACGGAGCACGATTATCTGTGAATAAGTCTGCCCATTGTGGGGTTCCAGCAGGTTTGGGAGTTTCTGTTACAGCCCCAATATTTGGGACAGACTGCCCAGCCTTGGCGTTTGAGACAGGTGTTTGTTTCTCAGCAGCTAATCCTTTCACAACTGTCCCTCCCTTTTGAATTGCAGCAGTAGGTTTTGGGACCTTAGTTAAGTCCTCATCCTTACCAATCGCAGGTGCAGCAGCAGTAAAGTCAACAGCAGCAGGTTTAGCAGCTGAAATAGAAGACGGAGCTCCTGCATCATTAGTTGAGGCAGAGTGGCCAGCTCTGCAAATCCCAGACCACGGGTCGGTATCAACAGCAGCAAAAGAGGGGATTCCAGCAGGTGTATCAGTCTTCCTCGCTGGTTTAGTCGTTCCAAGCCTTCCAGCAGGTGTGGGGGACAAAGCAGGAAAATCTTCCTCCATGGACTCCAACACAGCAAAGGACGACCTGGTGGTTCTCGCAGAAGGAGTCGCACCAGTGCTCTGTTTCGTTCTCGCCATCCCAAGTACGGATAAAAAGACAGTTGAAGGTAAATCAACCCTCGTTCCCAGGTTCTCGTTCGCACTCAAAAACACCAGTCAGTAAAATCATCCAGCCACTAAACCCCCAAATCGTTACCAGATTCAAGGTTAAAATCGAAAAACGAGCGGAAATCCAGCGATTCCAAAACTAAAATCGACCTCACATACAGAAATCAATACAGTGTTGAGCAGTAACAGTCGCGACAAAACATTCCGATTCTTCGTTTATGGGCCCGATTCATGGTCTTCCAAAGTTGGAAACCAAGAAGCAGCACAAATCCGAAGTCCGAGTATCAAACCTCCATTGAATTGATCGAAACTCAGCCCTGCTAAAGCATGTACGGACGAAGAGAACTGGGACGGAAGTTCCCAGGAGAGAGACTCTCCCAGGCGGTTTCGGGCTTCATTTGTCATATTAATATTAGTTAAAGTAGTTAATTGTTTCATTTGTCATATTAATATTAGTTAAAGTAGTTAATTGTTTCATTTGTCATATTAATATTAGTTAAAGTAGTTAAAGTAATTAATTGTTTCATTTGTCATATTAATATTAGTTAAACTACTTAATTGTTACATTTCTCATATTAATATTAGTTAATTGCTACATTGTTCATTAAAGTAAAAAAAAGTAGTTAATTTTTACATTTCTCATATTAGTTACTTGCTACATTTCTCATTAAAGTAAAAAAAAGTAGTTAATTTTTACATTTCTCATATTAGTTAATTGCTACATTTCTCATTAAAGTAAAAAAAAGTAGTTAATTTTTACATTTCTCATATTAGTTAATTGTTACATTTCTCATTCAAGTAAAAAAAAGTACTTAATTTTTACATTTCTAATATTAGTTACTTGCTACATTTCTCATTAAAGTAAAAAAAAGTTGTTAATTTTTACATTTCTCATATTAGTTAATTGCTACATTTCTCATTAAAGTAAAAAAAAGTAGTTAATTTTTACATTTCTCATATTAGTTAATTGCTGCATTTCTCATTAAAGTAAAACTAGTAGTTAAATATTGTACTCATATAAAATATTTGATATCATTTAATATTTGTTCAATTTTAAAGATGGAGTGTGGTAGACATTCTGTAGATGTGGATAATCTCCAACGCAACCGCAAGAGGGAGATTGCGCCGACTCGATCTACTTCACGCAAAGGCAAAGGTAAAGCGCGGGCCGAGTCTTCTTTTCAAAGTCGAGATGATTTTGAAACGGATTACCAACGGCGAGATGATATGATGATGTCCGACGAGCAACTACAACACCTATTGTCCCAAAATAATTCACGCTTTGCACAAGAACAACAATTCCCGAAAATCATTGATGAAGAGGAGCTCGAGGATGATGATGCAGAGGAGGACGTGGGGGGCGACGAGACTCACGGCACCTAGATGATGAGCAAGAGTTGGAGGACGAGGTCGGTTTAACCCAAATTGGTAAGAAATCTAAATCTCCTATTATTGACAACAATTTTACAAAAAGGTAAGACCCAAATACCGAAAAATGGTACGCAAGTTGCAATCATTGCAACAAAGAGTATAGCTTGGGAACTTCTGGCGGATACGGGAGTCTCAAAAGGCATCCTAAGTCCGCCCACTTTGTGGAGTATGCGAAAATAGACAAAGGCAAGGGGAAGCAAACACAAATATCGTGGTTTGCAAATTCTCAACCCTTTGGTAATTTCTCCTATGATGATAAAAAACATTTGACTGGTATGTCTCATTTAATTGTTGAATAAAATTTACCCTATATTTTTTCCTAAAGTCTTGCTTTAAGAGATTATGCTCAAGGTACTTTAAATCCTCAATTTAGAAATTATAGTCGCAAAACGATTAAAAGAAGTTATAAGGCAATATAACTTGGAAAAAGAAAAATTACAAACATTTTCGCAAACTTTGATGGACGTGTTAGTATTTGTAGCGATATATGGGAGGATACTTATCATCATTTATATTATTTGGGTCTTACTGCACATTATATCGATGATGATTGGAATATGCATAAACGTGTTCTTGCTTTTCGTGAATTCAATGATCGTCACACTGCTGATAATATTTATATTCTCATTGAACGTATTTTAATTGAGTATAATTTGATTGATAAGGTGTTTGCTGTAGGTTTTGATAATGCTAGTAATAATACTGCTGCTATACCTAGATTGCGTGAATTGTGTGGTGCTTCTACATTGATGAGTAGATTTTTTCATCAACGTTGTGCATGTCATATTCTAAATTTGTGTGTACAATATGGCTTAGCGGCATTAGGAAATGCTTTGGAGGTAGTGAAGGGAAGAATTAAATTGATTTGGGCTAGCACTCCACTAAAAATGCAATGGCAGCAATATTTGAAGGATAGACGTGTCAATTATTGTGCTTTTCCTAAAGATTTGTCTATTCGTTGGAATAATACTTATAATTTAATTCAATTACTTATTAGATATAAAGATCATTTTCCTGCTTTTTTAAGACAAACTTGTAACTATATTATAAACCCGGCTGACATCAACACTTGTGAAAAATTGTTAATGTTTTGGCATATTTTAATAACGCAACTCAAACTTTTAGTCATGTTTATAAACCTACCGCAAATGATTTTTTCGTTGAGCTGTTAATCTCGCCGGCGCTTTTTGTGAATTTTCCGAAGCCACTTACGTTAGTTATTTTTGTGATTTCATGAAACAAAAGTTGTTAAAATAGTATTCACATATTCTGCATATATATGGTATTGCATTTGTTCTTGATCCTCGTTATAAACTTGCTTACTTGGCAAATTGTATATATTACTATTATGCTTCTTTTTTTCCAACTCAAGAGTTCGATGATAATCCCATCGACCCTAAACGAGAATTCAACGAGGTTAGTAATTTAGTTCATCAATTGTATAATGAAGTTCATGCACAATATGGTAATGCACCCCCTCCCATGCCACGAACATCTTCTTCATCTAAAGGAAAATCACTTTTAAAATCCGCTTTTGGTTCTCTTTTGAAAAAAAGTAGAGCAACTCCCGCTACTGAACAAAGCTCAGGTAACGAGCTTTCTTTGTATCTAACATTGAATGTTGATTATGAAGTTGGTGATGACTTTGACGTTCTTAAGTGGTGGAAGGAAAATGAAAGAACGTTCCCGATTTTATCAAAGATGGCTAAACAAGTGCAAGCAATGGCGATATCAACCGTTGCCGTGGAACAAGAATTTAGTGCGGCCGGCAACGTCCTAACCGATTATAGAATGAGGTTGAGCCCGAGCTCTCTTGAGACGCTAGTTTGCTTTCACGATTGGTTGAAGGCCCAACGAAGAACTCAAGAAATTACCATCGCTCCCACCCGCCACTTTATGGAGGAAACAACCGAAGGCGGAGATTCCGATTGATTTTTTATTACAAAATGTATTACATTTTTTAAATTCATCCTAATTCTCAATTGTACTTCTTATTTGAAATAAATATACTTGAATTAGTTTATATTATTGTGTACATCAATTCAATAATGCTCAAACTTATAACGTAAATTAATTGGTTACAAACTTATAACTTACAACTTCAAATTATTTTTGTAATAAGAATTATTCTAATAATATAATATATAATTATAAAAAAAATTAAAAGGCCCGGCCCGGCCGGCAGCCCGACCTGTGAACCGGGCGGGTGACTCGAACCAAACCGGACCCGGGGTTATCCGGACCGGTTCCGGGCCTCCCATACCTTGAACCGAGGCCCGGCCGGTTCAAGGCCTGAACCGGGCCCGGCCCGAACCGAGTCCACCACTAGTATCGGTCATGATTTGTCAAAATTATGTGATGGAATTCATAGAATATTCCCGATTTTATTTTCCTTTTTGAGATTGGGTCAGCACTCAGTTGATTAGAAAATTATAGTGGAAATTTTAATACTCCCTCCATCCCGAAATTAACTTTCCACTTTCCTTTTCGTGCAGTTCCAAAATGAACTTCTCAAATTCATTTCTTTCTATATTTAGCAAGTTTTCCAATTGAATTGACCATGTTGCCCTTCTCATATTTATCCCTACACCTACGTGCCCCTCGTTCTACCCGCTCCTCATTCTTATCCTTAACTCTCTCTCTCTCTCTCTCTCTCTCTCTCTATCTATCTATCTCTCTCCCCCCCCATTTGTATGCAATCCTTCGCCCCCACCATCCTCCGCCGCCCCTTGTTTACACCTTTCCATCGCACCCTCTTTCAAACCCCTATATCGCTACCATCTCCATAACCCCTCCATCGACACCCTCCCTGAATCCCCGTCATCTACACCCCATCTCTGTCAGTCAGCCCGCCTCCATCGCCAAACCCTCTGCATGGATAAATTAAATGTGGTAGCAGATGTCCCTTTAGATGACAAACCACATGTTAATGATTTATCGCTTATTATCCATGTCCCCCAAGTTGCCTTGAACACATGCTATGTGTAATTGACAGTGTGTCGTGTGTATATGATGAATTCTGTGTGTGCTATGTTGATGATGAATTCTGATACACCAAATGGATGGTGATGATCCCCCTGAACCCCATTATTATCCATGTCCCCCAAGTTGCCTTGAACACATGCTATGTGTAATTGACAATGTGTGGTGTGTATATGATGAATTCTGTGTGTTCTATGTTGTTGGTGAATTCTGATACACCAAATGGATGATGATGTCCCTTGAATTCCATTTGTTATCCATGAACCCAAAGTCATCTTGAATTTTGTGTGTGGTGTATATATATATGATGAATTCTGTGTGTGTTGTGTATATAACTGATGATGAATTCCCTCCCTCCCTCCCTCCCTCCCTTCCTTCCTTCCTTCCTTCCTTCCTTCCTTCCTTCTCCTTAATCTCCATCTCCCGGATCTGTAAAGATCATCTTCAATTGAGTCAGGTATGCCTCCGTCTAGTTCTTTCTCTAGATAATTCCAATATGAAGGTTAAATTATTACTCCCTCCGTCCCATTTGATTGTCATTGATCAAGAAAAGTCATTTTAGCGAATCTTTTTAAGACAGAGGGAGTAATTTTTATGTGTAGGAGATACATATCTCCATGACTCCATATTTATTTTCATTTTCATTTTTTCTATCATTGTTAACACAGTTTTCGTTCACTTTTGCTCCACAAATCCCGTATAAATTGCACATGTGGACAATTGGATATTGTCATTGACATTGTCTAGAATTTGTTTCTCTTTCTCCTCTTCTCATTTTTCTCTACACACCACTTTCTTTATATTAAATAAAAATAATCATGTTATCTCTATCTCTCCGATGTCATATAGGATGGACTACACTACTATACTATCCCAACTTTGCTTGGTCACATGTTGCTCATGGCCGCGCGCCCTTCTATTCCCTCTCCATTTTGCTTGCCCTGAGTTACACCCTATATAAAGCTCCCTCCCTCCCTCCATCCTTCATTTTTCCTTCTTTTTTCTTTCTTTCTCATTCATCTCCATTTCCATCTCCATCCCCATCCTCATCCCAATCTCCATCTCCTTTTCCTTCTCCTTCTCATTTCCTTCTGTCTATTTAATTACCCTTTTTTTTGAAAATTCAATAACCTCATTACTTCATATCATGTCTCAAGACATGGATAATACAATCAGGTGGATTATCATTTCCTTCTCTCTATTTACCTTTTATTCATACTCAATCTTCACCTTTACTTTGTCAATGCACCAAAAAAATTGACATTCGAGAATAACCAGAAGTTCACTGCAAATTCACCAGAAAAATACAGCCACCGGAATTTTCGTAAGTGTAGTATATAGATATTGACTATATCGTGCTGAATAATGACATATGTGTGTGTGTGTGTGTTAACTTATCTCTAAAGAATGATGAAAGTGAAAAACTAGTAACATTTCATTATAAAATTTCATCATAGACAAAAAATGTATGTATAAAGACATTGGGTTTCTTTTAATTTTAGTGTACACAGAAAAAAATGTTATATAAAATCAGGGTTATATTGCACCGAAATAAATGTCTTATACAAATAAAAAATATGTATAAATGTATAGACACTCTTGCACCAATCATTGTGATTTAAAAGCAAATCAATGCATGTGTACACAAACATTAGTTGTCTGTGTGTAACATTTTTGTTCGTCCACACAAACAACTTTTAACCCTAATGTTAGTTGTTTATACAGACAAAAGTGTATGTGCCCATACATTTTAATATAAAATAATTGCATGAATTGTATACTTGAAGCTCGGTAGGTAGATATGTAAGAGAGGTAGAGAAGGTGTGTGTTGGTTTAGGTGCATGTGTATTTGAAGAAAGACATTAATTAAATGATTGATATATGATGTGAAAAGTAAAGGTAGGTAACTAAATAAGCTTCTTGTTTCTGAAAAATGTCTTCAAGTGCCATACTTGCAGTGCTGAAACTAGAATGCAGAGTCCCACAGATATGAAGCTGAAGCATGCCACCCTCTTATTTGTCGTCTTACTAACTCTTTGCATTTTCAGATCTCTGAATGAAATGAAGAAATATAGATAATCATGAAATGTTTGAAAGCCAAAAAATTAAAGCAAGACGTTAATAATTAGCTAGGATTTTATATATATATATCTCATGCATGCATGCATGCAGTGATGTGACTACATACATACTTGATCATAAGATGAATTGTATTTTGGCGGATGGCCTTTGCTGTTTCTTCCAGCTTTGTGAACTGAAGCTGGAGGCCCTGTATATTGTGTGCTTTGGCAAGTGATTCCCAATCTTTTGCAAAGATTCCGATTTTCCAGTCGAGGCTAACAGTTAGAGCGGCGGCGGCGGCGGTGGAGTTGAATTGATGGTGGGTAAGGAGGCGAAAGCAGGCAACATGCATTCCGGCCTCAGTGGTTGTGAAGCTAAACCGACCCACTGTCACATTCCCTTTCACGTGCTCCTTCTCATAAACAATCTTTCCAACCGGCGATTTCACCTGCATGCAATGCCCCCAATTCAATGCTAAAATACCATTCTCTACCTACTCCATCATATACATACGTGTATACATACATACATACATACATATACATACATATATATATATATATATATATATATATGTTACTACTATCTATAATACACTTTTTTAATAGTATGGTGCATTTAACTTAGAAATTGAGTGTATCATATCTCTAAGTCATCATTGAGCACAAATTAATTGATCATTTAAAATTATCTTATGTGAAAGTGACATGACAATAACAGTACATAAAAATTAAAACCGTAAAATTTAGGAGTATAAATGGAGATGCTCTAAGACCATATGAAATGGTGTGGGGTCCAAAATGTCAAAAATGGACTCCGTCCATACGAAAACAGTGTTTTCACTCCTATTTTCTGCATTCCAGCACCGTCAATAAAATACACTCTGCATATTTTTTTACATATCAATTAAGTAAAACATTAATTACATTATTATAATAAGTAATGTTTCCTTTTAATTTTCTCTCTGATTAATTATAAAATAAAAAAGACACATTTTGATGTAAAAATAAATAAAGTTCATTACTACGTAATATTTTTTTGGTTTAAATATGTTTTTAATCCTTTCAAATATAACACACTTTGTTTTAGGTCACTGCAAAATATTTCCATTCTTCTTCATCCCTAAAATTTATGTTGGTTTTCTTTTTAGTCCATTACTAATGATAACAACCTCCGTTTGACAACAAAATAACCAATAGATATCATTTAATTCTTTGTCACGTCATTCAAAAACGAAAATTTTACCGTATGACCGGTACGGTGAGCACCGTATACCGGTATACGGACATCTTTATTTTTTTTCCTTTTGTTTTTAAAAAATGGTAATAACTTTTTTATTTTTGATCCGATTTTTATAAAATTTATATCAACATTTTTTATTTTTCATGATCTTTCAAATGAAACCAATATTGCTTATGTAATTTTAAGAAATTATCGAACTATTATATTAATGAGTATTACAGAAAAATAATTGTGCAAATCAAAATTTATCTTAAAATTGTGTATATAAAAAATTTATTGTAATATGTATTTATACATGTGAGTTACATATTTTTATGCGTAAAGTTACATATTTTTACACGCAAAGTTACATATATATATACACACGAGTTGCATTTGGCCTGCCTGAACGCGAGTTCCATATTTTTACACGTAAAGTTACATATTTTTACATGTAAAGTTACATATTTATACACGCGAGTTACATATTTATACACACGAGTTGTATTTGACCTGTCTGAACGTGGGTTACATATTTGTACACACGAGTTGCATTTGGCCTGACTGGACGTGAGTTACATATTTCTACACCTAAAATTACATATTTTACACAAGTTAATATAACAGTTCGATAATATGTTAAAATTACATAGACAATATTGGTTTCATTTGAAAGATTATGAAAAATAAAAAATGTTGATATAAATTTTATAAAAATCGGATTAAAAATAAAAAAGTTATTACCATTTTTTTTAAAAAGAGAAATAAAAAATAATACTCTCCACCTCAAACCGTATGCCGTTATACGGTGCTCACCGTATACCGGTCATACAGTATAACAACTTATTCAAAAAGTAATCCCTCCGATTCTCAAAGACCTTCACACTTTGACTTCACACTGTTTAAGAAACTAAATTTGACTTTACTGTGGAGTGCATTGTTTGACACTGTTTAGACACTGTTTGACACTGTTTTGCACTGTTTTGGTGTAGATAATTTGTCAAATAAGGAAATAAGAAGAAGTGTGAAGTTAATTTCGGGACTTCCCGAAAAGGAAAGTGGGAAGTTGTTTGAGAATCGGAGGGAGTATTTAATTTCATTTTCTAAAAGGGTTTTAATACATATTTAAAAAATGCGAATAATTAGTTTTAATTTTGTTTTAATTCTCATATTAGCCTAAAAAAAGTTATAAAATGATAAACTTGAATATTTCTAGTAGATTTATGCAACCACAAAAAATTAAGTAGAATTGTTTCGGAGTTAGTGATGGACTAAAACCAAAGTAGCGTATATTACAGGGATGAAAAACAAAGAAAATATTTTGCAGGGATCTAAAACAAAGTGTGTCATATTTGCAGAGACTAAAATCATACTCCCTCCGTCCCGCAATAAAGTTACCACTTTCTTTTTTGGGCAGTCCCTAAATTAAGTTCACACTTCCTTACTTTCCTTATTTGGCAAATTATCTACATCAAAACAGTGCAAAACAGTGTCCAAATAGTGCAAAACAATGTCCAAATAGTGCACTCCATAGTAAAGTCAAATTTATTTTCTTAATATGTGTGAATTCAAACCGGGAACTTAATTTGTGGACGAAGGGAGTATTTAAACTTTTTTTGGGGAAAACTGTCAAATAGGTCCTCGAACTTTCATAAAAAGGTCAATTAAGTCCTTCTATAGGAGGTTCTGTCCGGCCGTCGCTATTTGGAGTTGTTCCCGGTTGAATTTTTTTATGAAATTTTTTGAGCATCTTATTCATCAAGTCTAGTTTACTTATATCAAATTTAAGCTTAAAATTCAATCAAGAACTCATTCAAATTAAATCTTGAAGATAACTGCGCATTTTTGCGTTCTCAAATTAATTTGAATGCGCTCCCGATTAAATTTTTAGCTGAAATTTGGTATGAGTAAAGTAGACTTGATGAATAAGATGTCAAAAAATTTCACAGGGAACCGCCCCAAATCGCAACGACCGGACGGAGTCTCCTATAGAAGGACTTAATTGACTTTATGGGTGCTTACTGATGTCATCGCGATATCACTATGACATCACCCAGGTTAATTGCATCTGCTCGCACCGCAGGCCAGGCGAGGCCTATTGGCTTTTCCCCTCTGCACACCAATCCCATCCGCCCCCACTCCCTTATTATACTTTTCTTTTTTCATTTTCTTTTGAGAAAATGGAAACTAATAATACAATCTTTTAGTGGTATTCTTATAATTGTCTCACCTTTTGATTATTCAGGAATAATTCAACCTTTGCAACCCATCTTAATTCAATGGTCTCTGGTCGATTGATGACCCGTTATTCCAAGTTATTTTCTTATCTTTGCAAAACATTGTGTGACCATAAAGTGAGATTTATGCTATAATATATTGCAAAGATAAGAAAATAATTTGGAATAACGGGTCATCAACCGGTCAGGGACCACTGAATGAGGATGTGGTGCAAAAGTTGGATTATTCCTGAATAATCAAAAGGTGAGACTATTGTAAGAAGACCGCTAAAAGGTTGGATTATTAGTTTCCATTTTCCCTTTTCTTTGTGGGTGTCAATACCCCTCTAAATTTAACTTTATCCCTCCCCATACCCATTTTTAATACCCTTTTTAACTCACCATTGTATGAAATTAGGACTTTGAGTCCAAATATTGTCACTTTTGATATTTTAGTCTAATACTCCTTCCGTCTCGAAAAGGTTGGCCAAATTTCCCTTTTTAGATGTCCCAAAAAGATTTATCATTTCCATTTAAAGTAAGGAATATGTTGTTTTGGCTGGGGTGAAATGTACTTCTTCCGTCCCTTAAAATTTTGTCAAACTTTTCATTTTTGGTTGTTCTAGTAACTTTTCCACTTTCCGTAAAGAATTTATGGTTCAATTTAATTCTCTCTTCATAGTACAAACTTTAACCACACCATTTTTACTTTATATATTAATTTTCTTACTGGTCAAACATGACAAAATTTTAAGGGAAGGGGGAGTATAAATGGTACTTTAACTATTGGTATTGTTGCGTTTTGGTACATTAACTTTTAAATGAATCAAATCAATACCAGATCTGTACATAAATGTTTCAATTCACAATATTATTCAAATTTCTAGCCAAAAAAACATACGTGGTGACCGGAATTCTATGCGTAAAACCCATGCAATTTTAATCGCGATGTAGGGTTTTTTGGCCACAAGTTTGAATAATATTCTCAATTGAAACATTTATGTATAGTTATGGTACTGATTTGATTTATTTAAAAGTTAAGATATCAAAATGCAACAATACCAATATTTAAAGTACCATTCATGCATTTCACCCATATAGGTGCATTAAAGTGACATAGTAAATTTGATATTTTTAATGGAGTATGCTCAAAATGAATAATTGACAATGAAAAATTGGTTGTCAAAGTGAGCCAATCATATTAGGAAAATAGCTAGATGCCTAGATCTATCCTTTTTATATGACGAGTAAATCATGTTATAACTAGAAGTAAAACAGAACAAAAGTGTCTTGTGCCCTAATGACATCACTGCTGATCTCGGAAGATGAGGTCAAAGGTCCGAGTCTGTTGATCTCATAAGATGAGGTCAAAAGTTCAAGTCTCATTCCAATCAAGAATGTTAACATTATCTTGAGCAATACCATAATAGGATTAAAAGGATATATAAAACAAAAAAGTTAAAGTACAAAAGTATAAGTTTAATGTTTGGTAGGACTAAATTTTGAAGACATGACTTAACAACAATACCCTCGGAAAAACCTAATCCTTAAATAATAATATAAAACAAAGCAATAAAACAAAATAGTAATTGCCTTAAAATAGGGCTAAATGGAAACATAATTGCATAAATCAGATTAAAACTTAAATCTTCCACGAATAGGACTAAACATTGATTTTATACCCTTAATAACCCTAATCTAATTAAATAACCCCCCTAGTTCCCTTGGGCAACCGGGACAGTCAGTTGATGATGTGACAGTCAGAAGGTAGGTGGTGGTGGCGGCCACCGATAGTGGCGACGAAGGCGGACGACAGACTTCCGGTGGCATGTGGTGGCAGGCTGACTAGGGGGGAATTCCGTAAAAAAAAGTATCCATGTCAGAGCTCCGACGACGATGACGAGGGGATAACGGCGGCCAGAATATGGGTGGCAGCCAGAGTCTGGCGGTAGATGGTAGCAGTGGGCAAGGGGTAGGGCATCTTTGCCCAATCACAAAAAGTCCTATTTTCAAAATTTTCGAACTTCTACTCCTATTTGTGATTTTTGGCTATGATTTGCTCCTATTTAGGTAATTCACTCAAAACAAAATTAGTTACATGCCTAGACAAATGAAGGCATAGTCCTCTGGTGCGTGACAGCCGTTGTCACTGCCCGCCACCGCTACCTCATCTGTCGCCGCCTCATCAAGGGAAGGAGATGGAGAGAAGGATGGGGAGATGAAGAAGAGGAGGACGAAGAAGAGGATGAAGATGAAGAAGAGGATGTGAGGGAGGAAGAGGAGGAAGAAGGGGAAGAAGAAGCTGGGGGGGGGGGCAAGGAGAAGAAGATTACATGCAGAATGATGCCGAGAAAAGAGATACACATCGGTTCCGGTCAAGAAGAGAGAAGTGCAATAACTTCGACGAAGAGGAGATGTGAAGTGGATTGGAAGAGAGAGCTCCATTGTCTTCGTCACGAAGAGCTCCATCGATCATCATCGTTGAAGAAGAGCCCATCGCCGTCCTCGAATGATCATGGAAGATGCCATTTTCGAAGGGTCTCTCGATGAATGGATCAGAGATCAATGGCTGCCAACGGTTAGCTCTCTAGATTGATGGGAGTACAAACACAAGGAGATGGGAAGGAGATACACGAGGTATTAAGGGTATTTCAGACACTTGATATCAGTTAAGACCCGAGATTCTATCCTAAAATGCAATGTAATAGAAAGAGTAATCCGGATCTTAATATAACACTTAATTTCTTCACGGATTTCCGGTGTGAGAATTCAACAATATCGCTTCACGAAAAGTAATATACGAGTCCTATTTTTCCGCAATAAAAATATTGATGGTCTTAGTTTTGTCATTTTTCGAACTTTTAGTGTAGACGTGTAGTTACACAATGTTACAAAAAACAAAATCTAAGCAATATTGCTTTGAGTAGGGTTTGCTATACCGGTATATAGGATAGCATATTTTTAGTCGTGATGAGTCGTCATAAGATCGACCTACCTCAAGTCAAAGACATTGACGGATATGCATGTCAAATAATGGTAATTGAAATAAAAAAGAATTACAACAGAACATTAATTAATTAGATGGATGAAAGTAAATAACCTGGACGGCGATGGCCGGAGCGGGGAGGACATCTCGATCGGAGAAAGCGTAGTAATTTCCCAAAACGACTGCGCTGCTGTAGATTTGCTCTGACAGGCACTTTGTTCCGGTCGCCGGTAAACTAAACCAAATCGCCGCACCATTCTGTGGCCGCAGCAGCATGAGGACGACGGCCATCACCACCGCCGCCACCCATCTTTTCCCCGTCATTTCACTTTCTAAGCGTTTTCTTTTCTGTCTTTGTCCGTTTCTATATTAAACCAATCGTTATACTTAATTATAAATGGTACGATATTTATTTTGGTGCAATAAATAATTACTAGGCTTGATTTTTAATTTGTAAACTATCTTCTTGTCTTGGATGTGGGGAAAAGGGTCAAATAGGACCCCGAACTTATATAGGAGGTTCGGTCCGGCCGTCTCCATTTGTGGCGGTTTCCGGTGAAATTTTTTGAGTATCTTATTCATTAAGTCTAGTTTGCTCATACCAAATTGAAGCTAACAATTCAATCGAGAAGACATTCAAATAAATTCTTGAAGATAACTGCGCTTTTAATACTCCCTCCATCCCGAAATTAACTTTCCACTTTCCTTTTCGTGCAGTTCCAAAATTAACTTCTCAAATTCATTTCTTTCTATATTTAGCAAGTTTTCCAATTGAATTGACCATGTTGCCCTTCTCATATTTATCCCTACACCTACGTGCCCCTCGTTCTACCCGCTCCTCATTCTTATCCTTAACTCTCTCTCTCTCTCTCTCTATCTATCTATCTCTCTCCCCCCCCATTTGTATGCAATCCTTCGCCCCCACCATCCTCCGCCGCCCCTTGTTTACACCTTTCCATCGCACCCTCTTTCAAACCCCTATATCGCTACCATCTCCATAACCCCTCCATCGACACCCTCCCTGAATCCCCGTCATCTACACCCCATCTCTGTCAGTCAGCCCGCCTCCATCGCCAAACCCTCTGCATGGATAAATTAAATGTGGTAGCAGATGTCCCTTTAGATGACAAACCACATGTTAATGATTTATCGCTTATTATCCATGTCCCCCAAGTTGCCTTGAACACATGCTATGTGTAATTGACAGTGTGTCGTGTGTATATGATGAATTCTGTGTGTGCTATGTTGATGATGAATTCTGATACACCAAATGGATGGTGATGATCCCCCTGAACCCCATTATTATCCATGTCCCCCAAGTTGCCTTGAACACATGCTATGTGTAATTGACAATGTGTGGTGTGTATATGATGAATTCTGTGTGTTCTATGTTGTTGGTGAATTCTGATACACCAAATGGATGATGATGTCCCTTGAATTCCATTTGTTATCCATGAACCCAAAGTCATCTTGAATTTTGTGTGTGGTGTATATATATATGATGAATTCTGTGTGTGTTGTGTATATAACTGATGATGAATTCCCTCCCTCCCTCCCTCCCTCCCTTCCTTCCTTCCTTCCTTCCTTCCTTCCTTCCTTCTCCTTAATCTCCATCTCCCGGATCTGTAAAGATCATCTTCAATTGAGTCAGGTATGCCTCCGTCTAGTTCTTTCTCTAGATAATTCCAATATGAAGGTTAAATTATTACTCCCTCCGTCCCATTTGATTGTCATTGATCAAGAAAAGTCATTTTAGCGAATCTTTTTAAGACAGAGGGAGTAATTTTTATGTGTAGGAGATACATATCTCCATGACTCCATATTTATTTTCATTTTCATTTTTTCTATCATTGTTAACACAGTTTTCGTTCACTTTTGCTCCACAAATCCCGTATAAATTGCACATGTGGACAATTGGATATTGTCATTGACATTGTCTAGAATTTGTTTCTCTTTCTCCTCTTCTCATTTTTCTCTACACACCACTTTCTTTATATTAAATAAAAATAATCATGTTATCTCTATCTCTCCGATGTCATATAGGATGGACTACACTACTATACTATCCCAACTTTGCTTGGTCACATGTTGCTCATGGCCGCGCGCCCTTCTATTCCCTCTCCATTTTGCTTGCCCTGAGTTACACCCTATATAAAGCTCCCTCCCTCCCTCCATCCTTCATTTTTCCTTCTTTTTTCTTTCTTTCTCATTCATCTCCATTTCCATCTCCATCCCCATCCTCATCCCAATCTCCATCTCCTTTTCCTTCTCCTTCTCATTTCCTTCTGTCTATTTAATTACCCTTTTTTTTGAAAATTCAATAACCTCATTACTTCATATCATGTCTCAAGACATGGATAATACAATCAGGTGGATTATCATTTCCTTCTCTCTATTTACCTTTTATTCATACTCAATCTTCACCTTTACTTTGTCAATGCACCAAAAAAATTGACATTCGAGAATAACCAGAAGTTCACTGCAAATTCACCAGAAAAATACAGCCACCGGAATTTTCGTAAGTGTAGTATATAGATATTGACTATATCGTGCTGAATAATGACATATGTGTGTGTGTGTGTGTTAACTTATCTCTAAAGAATGATGAAAGTGAAAAACTAGTAACATTTCATTATAAAATTTCATCATAGACAAAAAATGTATGTATAAAGACATTGGGTTTCTTTTAATTTTAGTGTACACAGAAAAAAATGTTATATAAAATCAGGGTTATATTGCACCGAAACAAATGTCTTATACAAATAAAAAATATGTATAAATGTATAGACACTCTTGCACCAATCATTGTGATTTAAAAGCAAATCAATGCATGTGTACACAAACATTAGTTGTCTGTGTGTAACATTTTTGTTCGTCCACACAAACAACTTTTAACCCTAATGTTAGTTGTTTATACAGACAAAAGTGTATGTGCCCATACATTTTAATATAAAATAATTGCATGAATTGTATACTTGAAGCTCGGTAGGTAGATATGTAAGAGAGGTAGAGAAGGTGTGTGTTGGTTTAGGTGCATGTGTATTTGAAGAAAGACATTAATTAAATGATTGATATATGATGTGAAAAGTAAAGGTAGGTAACTAAATAAGCTTCTTGTTTCTGAAAAATGTCTTCAAGTGCCATACTTGCAGTGCTGAAACTAGAATGCAGAGTCCCACAGATATGAAGCTGAAGCATGCCACCCTCTTATTTGTCGTCTTACTAACTCTTTGCATTTTCAGATCTCTGAATGAAATGAAGAAATATAGATAATCATGAAATGTTTGAAAGCCAAAAAATTAAAGCAAGACGTTAATAATTAGCTAGGATTTTATATATATATATCTCATGCATGCATGCATGCAGTGATGTGACTACATACATACTTGATCATAAGATGAATTGTATTTTGGCGGATGGCCTTTGCTGTTTCTTCCAGCTTTGTGAACTGAAGCTGGAGGCCCTGTATATTGTGTGCTTTGGCAAGTGATTCCCAATCTTTTGCAAAGATTCCGATTTTCCAGTCGAGGCTAACAGTTAGAGCGGCGGCGGCGGCGGTGGAGTTGAATTGATGGTGGGTAAGGAGGCGAAAGCAGGCAACATGCATTCCGGCCTCAGTGGTTGTGAAGCTAAACCGACCCACTGTCACATTCCCTTTCACGTGCTCCTTCTCATAAACAATCTTTCCAACCGGCGATTTCACCTGCATGCAATGCCCCCAATTCAATGCTAAAATACCATTCTCTACCTACTCCATCATATACATACGTGTATACATACATACATACATACATATACATACATATATATATATATATATATATATATGTTACTACTATCTATAATACACTTTTTTAATAGTATGGTGCATTTAACTTAGAAATTGAGTGTATCATATCTCTAAGTCATCATTGAGCACAAATTAATTGATCATTTAAAATTATCTTATGTGAAAGTGACATGACAATAACAGTACATAAAAATTAAAACCGTAAAATTTAGGAGTATAAATGGAGATGCTCTAAGACCATATGAAATGGTGTGGGGTCCAAAATGTCAAAAATGGACTCCGTCCATACGAAAACAGTGTTTTCACTCCTATTTTCTGCATTCCAGCACCGTCAATAAAATACACTCTGCATATTTTTTTACATATCAATTAAGTAAAACATTAATTACATTATTATAATAAGTAATGTTTCCTTTTAATTTTCTCTCTGATTAATTATAAAATAAAAAAGACACATTTTGATGTAAAAATAAATAAAGTTCATTACTACGTAATATTTTTTTGGTTTAAATATGTTTTTAATCCTTTCAAATATAACACACTTTGTTTTAGGTCACTGCAAAATATTTCCATTCTTCTTCATCCCTAAAATTTATGTTGGTTTTCTTTTTAGTCCATTACTAATGATAACAACCTCCGTTTGACAACAAAATAATCCTCACTAATAGATATCATTTAATTCTTTGTCACGTCATTCAAAAACGAAAATTTTACCGTATGACCGGTACGGTGAGCACCGTATACCGGTATACGGACATCTTTATTTTTTTTCCTTTTGTTTTTAAAAAATGGTAATAACTTTTTTATTTTTGATCCGATTTTTATAAAATTTATATCAACATTTTTTATTTTTCATGATCTTTCAAATGAAACCAATATTGCTTATGTAATTTTAAGAAATTATCGAACTATTATATTAATGAGTATTACAGAAAAATAATTGTGCAAATCAAAATTTATCTTAAAATTGTGTATATAAAAAATTTATTGTAATATGTATTTATACATGTGAGTTACATATTTTTATGCGTAAAGTTACATATTTTTACACGCAAAGTTACATATATATATACACACGAGTTGCATTTGGCCTGCCTGAACGCGAGTTCCATATTTTTACACGTAAAGTTACATATTTTTACATGTAAAGTTACATATTTATACACGCGAGTTACATATTTATACACACGAGTTGTATTTGACCTGTCTGAACGTGGGTTACATATTTGTACACACGAGTTGCATTTGGCCTGACTGGACGTGAGTTACATATTTCTACACCTAAAATTACATATTTTACACAAGTTAATATAACAGTTCGATAATATGTTAAAATTACATAGACAATATTGGTTTCATTTGAAAGATTATGAAAAATAAAAAATGTTGATATAAATTTTATAAAAATCGGATTAAAAATAAAAAAGTTATTACCATTTTTTTTAAAAAGAGAAATAAAAAATAATACTCTCCACCTCAAACCGTATGCCGTTATACGGTGCTCACCGTATACCGGTCATACAGTATAACAACTTATTCAAAAAGTAATCCCTCCGATTCTCAAAGACCTTCACACTTTGACTTCA